ATGAAATGAAGCGTATTTGAAGGCGAGTGTTGTTGTGCGTGTCGTATCGCTTCGAGGTATCCGCATTCGTTTGTCATCGAATCGTCTGGAGCAAGGCACATTGGCATGGGCACGAATCGATGGACTGGCCGATGACGAGACACCGTTCGCATTCGGTGGTGCCAAATACCCGTTACGAGTGAAGTGGACACTCGGCACGCATACCGTGTTGCAGATTATCTCTGCATTCCAGGTTTGTTTGTCAGTTTGATTTTCGTAGGAGATAGAAGGGATTTGAAATAAGTGTATATTTTTTATGGTATTTGTTTCTTCTACCTAATGTTTACAATGTGTAAATTTGTAATTGCAATATTTTCATTAGTTTCGGTAGAAATGAAATAGATGGCGAATGAAATGAATGTTTTTTTGTTTCCTTCTCATCGAGACAATCAACACAGCATTAATTTCAGACGTCAACTGCGATTCGTACGAGTGTGCAGAATCAATTCGAAGTGTTGCTGAGCGCTCGTGAGCCAGGACAAGTGCAACTGCGAGTAGCGGTCGAGATCGAGCCGAACGCAAAATTGCATTTTTATCGAGGCGCTCGTTTGTATGAGGATCGAGCCACGGTCGTAGTGGTGGAAGGCACACAACTTCTGCAACCAGCAATTCAACCTCGCTCGATTAGAATCACACCAAACGCTCAAATTCAGCTGAAACCAAATCGGTTGGTATCCTATTTCCCGTTGGGAAAGTATTGTATTGGTTAAGAATTAATTGCATTTGAAATTTTAAGTTAGCCGAGCAATGGAGTTTTTTGGATTTTTTAGTAGTGTTGTCTGATGAGGATGCTGGTAAGTTCTTGTGAAGCAGCAGCGTTGAAAAAGTGTTTTGTTTGAAATGATTTGAAGTCTCATTCTTAAATTTTGTAGAGCTGATGGAACTTTCGCACTACGTGTACCACAGCAATTCGCATCGCAGTTGACCATCGGCGGGGACAGTAACGCTGTACTGAAGGCGTTCTCGATCGGTGATGCGGTTGTTGAACTCCAGCATATCAGTATACCACACAATGAGTCTACCTTCATCCCGATTTCGGTATGCATCATAGATTTTA